TTTTTTTTTTTTTTTTTTTGAGATGATAACAGTACTCCTCAGCTTCACTTATTTGTGTGCTGGAAATGTTTCCAAAACTTGTCAGATCATGCAGCATGCCAGCTTTTAGATCATTGTTTATTCCTGTTTCACAGCCAGCAACAGCAGTTATTTCACCGTCACCATCAGTTTCAGCTCCATTATGGAAAAGCAGTAAAAATTGGACCAGGGAAGTAGTACTCAAATAAGCACAAAGCCTAAACCCTCTTTGTAACCAGTAATCCAATACATCCTCCGAAATAGAAGGTCACCAAATTCAGTCATGATTTGATGGAATGATGATGTGGTCATCAGTGTAAAGGAGTAAGTTCGTCATCTTAGAACCCCAAGAGCTTCTCCTGCTTGTTGGTGAATCCTCAATAATTATCTCCTGGCCACCCTCGCTAAACTGTATAAGAAAAAGAGAACTCCCATATGAATTTTTATTTTTTGCAAGCAATGGGCCCTTCATCCTTTTCAACATAGTGAACCAGCTAGGAAATGCTCTGTACTTTAGAGGTGTAGCAAGTTTCAAGCCACCGGGGTAGGAATGCATTAACTCCCCTAATTTGGCAAGCTTTCTCTTCTCTTTCATATTTAGAGCAGTAGCAATTAGCTCAATTGGTTTAGTGGCTTCTAATACTTATCAAAAATTGAAGTCCCCTAGCCCATTACCACCATAATTCATATTACTGTTCTCGTTGGATCAAACATGGAATAAAGTCAGCAATCCTTAACACGCAAACCGATTTTAATTTACAGATCAACAATTAAAGCAAAAAATACATATATACCGAATTTCTTACTTGTTTGTCCTAATTTGAGTCTCTTCTTTCTGCGTTCGACCAAGATATTCTGTTATACTTTTGCCACTAAATAATGTATGGGAACCTCATCTCAGTACATCGAAGAAATACTAGTTACATAAAACAATCAACTTTATCAACTATGCCTCAATCTCAACCTAGTAGGGTACTTGGGTTCAATTATATGAAAATACTTGCGTCAATTGCGCTCTATTCAGGTTCATTTCATTCCAATACTAAATAATTTGACTACCACCGACAAATTAGGATTCCAATACTATGAATTCTCAAAATTATACATTTATCCCTACACTTGCTGTAAGTGCAACAACAAAAACTAAGCCTTAATCTCAATCAATTGGTATCACCCATATGGATCCTCTCATTTTGATATGTTCTAAGCCAAATATGCACTGATTTTGTAAGTTTTTAGGTCCTTTAAGACAACTTCCCTCCATGGGGTTTATGATTAGTAAGTCCAATTTTATCACGTTCAGCCATCATATTATTACACCTACCATCCGGGCACATGGAGGTCTACTCACCAATTTTGACCTTTCATTTTCTCCTCTATGCGTTACTTGCACCATCTGTTGGATGTGATTATTTCTAACTTAATCAAATCTTATAGAGTTATATATTCATTTTAACATCCACATTTTTACGTTCTTCATTTTTGTGGATATGTTGGTAATTAAAGGCCCATTCGTTCTCATATAAAATTGTTGGTCTTAAAACCCTTCTACAGAACTTGTCTTCCACTTTGTTAGACATCCTTTTCTCACATGACACTTCCGTAACACTCTTTCATTTTCATTTTTCCTATCTTAATTTTAGGTTTTACATCCATCTACTGACATAAAAGGAAGAAATATACAAAGTAAGAAAATTATGTTGTGGAATAAAGAACTTTGAAAATGAGATCATTAGGTATTTATTTGTTGCTTCTAGGTAATCATGTCCAATCAGACTAGTTAGATGGTCACCAAACAAGCACGTCCCAGAGTAGCTAATGATGAAATGCAAATGTAGCTTAGTGACAAATTGAATTCATGAAAGAAGGACCTGGAATCTTTGCCATGAGGACATTTGATCTCCTGAGGCTACCAGAAAATAAAATTTCTGCGAATTCTCCCCTGCCCGATGAAAATTACCCAAATCAAATCCCTGATATCCTCATTTTTAAATCTTCCTGGAATTCCGAAACACCCAACAAGCATCAACAAACCCCGGGCATCAATTTCCTTAGCCTTAAGTATGCCTGCTTCGGCAATCAACCTCTTTCTCCATGCTAAAGCTGCCTGCTCCGCCTCTTGCTTCACCCCTATCTCAATCTCGTCGCTGATTCCCATCAACAAGAAGCACTGCAAAACCAATACAGAAGCCTTCCTTGCCTGGACCATTTGCGAGCCCTTAACAAATGACTTGCCCTTTTGAGTATAAAACTTGCCAACACATTCCAATACAAGCCTTGCTGGATTACTGGAGAGTCTCAATGCCTTGGGGACTTGCTCAAGCAGTCCTTTTATATCAAAGAGATGCATTACCATGTACCTCCGCAGACCGCGACCATCCATCATTTCGCAGAGGCTTTCCAGCTCTGAGCGAGGAGTAGATATCAGCTCTGAACGAGGAGGAAATCTCACGTCGTCCTCTTCTTTATCTTCTTCTTTCACTTCTTTTTCGCAGAGGCTCTCCAGCTCTGAACGAGAAGGAAATCTCACGTCTTCCTCTTCTTTCACTTCTTTTTCGCAGAGGCTCCCCAGCTCTGAACGATGAGTGGATATCAGCTCTGAACAAGGAGGCCATCTCACGTCTTCCTCTTCTTTGTCTTCTTCTATCACTTCTTTATCGCAGAGGCTCTCCAGCTCTAAACGAGGAGGGCATCTCACGTCTTCCTCTTCTTTGTCTTCTTCTATCACTTCTTTATCGCACTCTGAACGAGGAGGGGATCTCACATCTTCCTCTTCCTCTTCTTCTTTGTCTTCTCTTTTGCAGACGGTTTCCAGCTCTGAAGGATGAGTGGATATCAGCTCTGAACGAGGAGAGGATCTCACTTCTTCCTCTTCTTTTTCTTCTTCTTCTTCTTCAGATGGGTCGGATTCCCAAGATGATTCAGGGACTGGGACTGGGGTTGATATTGTGTCTGCGGCTAGGGAAGCCGCTGCTTGAGGTGATGACGTGGCTAAAGGAGTGGTATTAGTTGTATGTGGGGGTAGCATAGAGTCGATTGAGGTCCGGATGGAATCAACGTGTTGTTGTAGCTCAGTGAGGCAGCGATGGACCGCCAAAAGGGCACCGGAGATTTGGCGGAGATTGGCAATTGAGTCATTCTGCAGCGAATCGTTTACTGTTTGTGCTTGGACTTGGGTGGCCAATGGTGGCTGCTGCGACTGAGGCGTGGCAGTTGCGGCGATATCTACGATATCTACCGGTTTACTCATCGTCGGTTTAGAAGTAGAGAACCCGATTATTGAGAATGGACAAAGTGTAAGAATCCCCTAATGCGTCGCCATTTCCGATTGCTGATTGCACAATTCATAAACGGACGCTTCTTCCTGCAATCCTCGCCTTCGCCATTTTTGTGAGGTTATTCGCACCAGTAGCATGTTTAGTGGTGCTGTTTAAAATGTAACCATTTATTTGCAATGTATTTAAAATATAGTCACAAATAAAATAAAATAAAATAAAAGTTACCGAGACACGCTTCTAATTCTTGCTGTGTCCTCAAATTGAACCCTAACTATGTGAATTTTTATTTTTCACGTTGGAGAGAACTCAACAAATAATCCCTAGGTGAGCTTCTTTAAGGATGGAGAACGAGGTGCCAAAGCATTCATGCAGCTGCATTAATTAGTTGTACATTGCCCCTAATGTGTGGTGGTAATAATTGGCTCCATCTAACATCACACCAAATATCGTTACATAAAGTGGTACGAATTTAACAATACGATACAATAAAATTTAACAAACAATCAAAATATTATATTTAAAGTAACAATACAATATCATACAATAGGTAACAATCATCTTGTTTGGTAAGCGCTGCAACAGTGACAAGCTACTGCATGTTACTCAAAATTATATTCTTGTTGTCAACTAATGCAAATACCAACCAGTTCCAGATGATAGAGGCAGCAACATAAGAGAAAAGAAAGTTATCTTGTCCTACTCCATATCTGTAGGACCGTCAGTTCTCTGTTCAGTTACAGTTTCCTCCTGCATCTCATTAGCTTTATCATCGCCATTTGTTACCATCTTGTCTTCGTTGGCGTCCTTTAGCAGCAACATCGTAATCACCAATATTTAAATCTGCAGGAAGCTGGCCTGACTTCAAAGAAATGCCTACGTAATTTTACATATCGTTAGTAAGCTTCTCAAAACATGTCAGGAAAGAAAGGGAAGATGACCAAGGTCTTCATAAGGGAAAAAATGACAGATACACTAACTCCAGTAAATCAAAACCCATTTGTGTATTAATTGTTCAGCAATACAACACAAGCTTCAAACGCGTGGAGTATAAAAGCAAGGTTTTTATTCCAGACAAATGAATTTTTACCAGGTAAAGTTTAGACATCACTATGCTAAGCCTAGGAAATTGGCCAATGTTTTTCAGTAGCTAATGAACACAAACATTACTGAGACTGTGTCCCCTAAGAGACCATAGTGAAATCACTTCTAGATTGGCTATACTACAAAAAGGGAAACGAAGGTGGAAAGTAATGAGCGGCCAAGGCAAAACTATCTTGGCCAGTACAAGTAAGGCGAAGGATGAGCAGACGCAGCAGATGAAACAACATCAACTGCTCCTGAACCACGGCTCCTGTATAGTTCATTTGCTGTAACAGTATCAGCAACCTGGTAGATATCAGATGCAGAGCTCCGGCTAGCAACATCACCAGGTATTGCATTTGGCAACCCCGCAGAACCCTCCAAGTATGGTGGTGGCCTATAAGCATCACTATGTGTGGCATTTGGCAACCCTGCAGAACCTTCCAAGTATGGTGGTGGCCTATAAGCATCACTATGTGTGGCATTTGGCAACCCTGCAGAACCTTCCAAGTATGGTGGTGGCCTATAAGCATCACTATGTGTGGCATTTGGCAACCCCGCAGAACTTTCCAAGTATGGTGGTGACCTATGAGGATCACTGGGTTGGCTGTTTGGCAAGCCCGTAGAGCCTTCCACGTATGATGATGGCCTATAAGCATAGCTGCAGGAGGCCAGTCCGTCATACACGGCTGCATTCCCACGCCATCCATATGACTGACCAGTATGAATCCCTATTTGCCCAGGTGTACGATCAACTAGAGTCCCTCCATGACCTCCAGCATATGAAGCTCCTTGATGAACAATTTCCATGCCTTCTGATATATCTGCTTGAATACCATCGACACTTGCTGATATCCCTGCTCCATCTCGACCCATGGCCACAGTTCCTGCAAGGGAGCCAACAACATTTTCATGCATCGAGCCGGCAACAGGTCCATGCAATACTGATGAGGACACAGTATAACCATGAACATGGCCAGCATTTTGACGTTCTAGCAAGGTGCAGTCACTATCAACATGATTAACAACTCTTTGCTTCCATAGCCATGGTGGAATACGCGACCGTTTTGCTTCTTTATTTCTGAACCTTCTCGACGACTCAGTTTCATCACGTTTTCTCTTTTGTGCCATCTTCCCACCTGTCTGCTTATCTAATTCAACAATTTCTTTCTCCAACTTCATTATCTGCTCATTGATTTGCCATCCAGGAAGAAGTTTTGAAGGATCGGTATCATGGCGTTCCAAACATTTGATGAGATATTTCAGAGCAAACAAATGCTTCCTTTTTGCTTCATTCTGCTTAATCATAACAAAATGCTTGGTTAACTTGAGAAAAGGAGGGCTATTAGTGCTGGAATGCAACAACAACAACAACAACAAACCCAGTGTAATCCCATAAATGGGGTATGGATTAATAGTGCTGGAATGAAATTCAAGAATTACCACAGCAGCATGTGAACCATGTGAGTTTTCCTTCATTTTCTTCAATGACTCTTTAGTATCTAGTAAAAATGATGTCAAAAGTCTCTGAGGATTAAATCTGTCCTCAAATCCAAAAGTATAGGCAATATGAACAGCGTCAACTTCCATCTTTTGCTTCAGCATCCCCTCTATTATTTCTGTCACAGATTTACATAATCCAGTGTTAAGCAGACAGATAAATTAGCAAGTACGACAAGGTCAAATGTAATATTTCTGAAAAAGAAAAGGTATGCAAAACTGAAAAAAAATCATAGTAAGATGCAATAACATAATGAGGCTTCTTCTCTGAAACCACGAACTACGAAAACAAATAATCAGAAGGCGGACTACCGAGCAGATTATGAGGTTGAAAGGGTGTTCTTGACTTGAACTTTAAGTTTCCCTAAAGTGAAAAGTTGCCCCATAGAATGTGAAAAGAAAGAAACGACAAACATTCTCCCGTCCCAGTATTCACTGCTCGTTCCTGTCCATAGGATTTTCTATTTCAATTATTAGCTTAGTTAATTTTTCTCTCCAATAATGACGCCGAGATATTCCCCAAATGCTTTAATTTTTTGTCATTCAATTTCAGACATTAAATATCGCTGCATTCCATATTTGTGTCTTTGAGTCTCAAGTAAGCATGATCCTCCACCCTGGCTAGAGTTCTTTTATTTTATAAGGTAAAAGTTTATTGAAACTAAAAGCCACCAGCTATAAGATAGTGCTCGGCTTCCAGAGATTATACATCATTGTTGTTCCTGCAGGGAGCTAATAAACTCTATCAACTTACCCTCATCATATATATCAGCTAGATTACACCAAGAAGCTAAGTTACGCAAACATCTAAACTTCAACATATGGATAGAGACACCTTTGTTTTCAAATATCTCTGGTTTCTCTCCAAATAGTCCAAAAGAACACAACCTGGAATAGACCTCCAAATCTTTTTCAGCTCCTTGCTGCCTCTGTAGAACAACCAGCTATTAAGAAACTCTTGCTGGGATGACCCATTTGAACCCAAAAATATTGAAAAATAACTGTCAAAGTTGCCCAGTGACTTCACAGTGTATAACAGATGCTTACTGTCTTCAAAATCTCTTTCACAAAAGAAGCACCTGCTGCACATATGAACACCTCTTTTCTGCAAATTTGCTCGAGTTAAACGACCATCATGAGCCAAAACCCAGCAAAAGTATGCCACTTCATATGGCACCTTGGAGCCCCAAATAACCTTTCATTGCCAAGAAGATTATACACCAATTGCTTAAGCCAAGAAGATATAGCAAGATTTAACTGTAAATTAGCCATTTTTTGCACAGCCCAGACCAAACGATCATCCTTATCATCTTCCAATTCCTGGCTGATATTATCAACACCAGAACCAGACTATGTTTGGCCCGACCCATTTTCTCTGTGACCTCTAGTTGTTTTTTGTCAATATTAGTTAGAGATTATATTTCGGTTATCCATTTTATTTTTGTTGCTTGTTTTCGGGGTAGTGTTTGCGTAGTGTCTCCTAGATTATAGTGGCTTTGGTGAACGATGGTAGGATAAGATCTTGTCCTCGGGGGTGTCCTGGCGGGGGAAGGGGGCTAAGGGAGCCTCCCGGCTGAGAAAGGGGTCTTGGTACATAGGAACTTTGACTGGAAAGTCTATAGAGTTAGCAAGTATTCTCGAAAAAAGGAAGATTAATATAGCTTGTATAAAGGAGACTAGATGGGTAGGAGATAAGGTGCGGGGATGTGGGCAAATTAAAACTATGGTATTCTAGAAGGCCGAGGGGCAGGAACGGGGTAGGTATCTTGGTTGATAAGGACCTCCATGATCTAATGATGGAGGTTAGGAGGGTGAACGACAGACCGATGACTATTAAGCTAGTTGTTGGAGGAATTATTTTGAACATAAGCATTGCGTACGCACCCCAAGCAAGCTTGGACGAGGAAGTCAAAATGCGTTTCAGGGAGGATTTGGATGAGATGGTGTGTGGTATCCCGCACACTGAGAAGCTTTTCATAGGAGGAGATTTCAACGGCCACATTGGAGCGAAGTCTGGGGGGTATGATGATGTGCATGGTGGCTTCGGTTTTGGAGATAGGAACGAAGGAGGAACTTCTCTGTTGGACTTTGCGAAAGCGTTTAATTTGGTGATAGCAAACTCGAGTTTCCCGAAGAAGGTGGAGCACTTGGTCACCTTTCGGAGTTCGGTGGCCGTGACTCAGATTGATTATCTTCTCTGTAGGAAGTCCGATAGAGGTCTTTGCGCAGATTGCAAAGTTATCCCAAGTGAGAACCTCACGACCCTTCATAGGCTCATGGTCATGGACCTTGAGATCACGAGGAAGAGGGTGGTGTATAGCCAACCTAGGATCAAGTGGGGAGCCTTGACGGAAGCCAAAGTGCAGGAGTTGGGGGTTAAGTTGATGACTAGAGGTCTTGGAGGAGTAGTGGGGACGCAAGTGCTATGTGGACCACGACTGCGCAGTGTATTTAGGGAAGCCGCTAGAGAGGTATTAGGGATCTCGAAGGGTTACTCTGGTGGATACAGAGGATGATAACATCCTAGGAAGCTCAAATCTATTCAAGGACAAGAATGAAGCTTTGGAATCTCAAAGAGCGCCTTTA